TCTGTTCCCCTTCCCCCAATTCCCCAGCACTGTTCCCATCCCCCCAATTCCCCAATAAAAAAATCTTTAAAAACAAAAACAAACAAAAAAACACTGTATGACCTACAAAGTCTAAAATATTTACTATCTGACCCTTTAAAAAAAATTTATCAACTTAATGTATATGATTGAATCTGTGCTTCATATTGAAGCCTTTTATTCTACATGGTTGTGTATATTTAGGCTTTATTTCTTCTCATCTAGAAAGGAACTGCAGCTACACATCTTCTCATAATTCAATCTTACATTCTCACCCAAGTAGACTTTTTCCTAAAAAGATAGTATGTCAGAATGTTTCCTTGTGCAGTCGTGGCTTCCCTGACATATCTTGGGATGTCCAGTTTCCTGTAACCAGTCTACATTCCCAAATTTCAGTGTTGTAATCATGTGATAATTAATTCTGCCCTTCAAGATGTGATATCCATTTGACACTGTCAGCTTTTCTTGCTCTGCCTAAGATAAGCATGAACAGCTGTCTTTTTTCAGCATCCTGTGTTCCAGCCTTCACTCTATTTGTCAACACTAACTCATTTAATATAATTTGGGTTACAGCCACCCCATAGGATCAATGAAGAGTCAGTGACTTTTTATTCTCCTTGTAGAGAGGAAAAGAGATCAGATACTTTTTTATTCCATCATCTTAAAACCCAGAGTCTTTTCTGTAACATGCAATGTTTTGATCTTGCCCTGGGAGTTCTTTTTCTCTTCTGCTTGGATAGTACCTTTAATGACCTCATCGTACTTTCTCCCTCAGCATCTTTTGTTTAATTGAGCGTCTCGTTTTCCCCTAACTGGAGTGACCCCAAAGCGTAGTGTTCTGCCTTCTTTTTACATTTTTAGTAGCAACCAGATCTCTGACTTTACCTGCTTTGCTGTTTCACAGGAATTTTTCCCTGACTTTATTCTTAGTCTGGCAGAGAGGGAGAAAAATCTCCATTTTTCCATCTTGGAGCTAAGCAGCAACAGAGGACTGTATGTCTCACCATTCAGTATGTAGACTTTCACTTATTCTCTCCTTGTTTGAGCCAGTTCCTTTTCTCTGTATTCCTCATTCCTCTGCCTGGTGTCCCAAACTATAGAGCCTTTCTTCTTTTTTTTTTTGAGAGTAATCTTCCACCTTTTCTAGGGAAGAGAAGTAGTCTTTGTCTTTTTTAGTTTATCCTTTTTTCTTTATCTCATATTAGTGTGATTTTAGATGGGATCAGAGATAAATTTATGTATTTATTATTACCGTATTTAAGTTCAATTTCGCACTCTTTATCCCTCCCCTGCTCACTATACTTACTCCCTATCCAGTCATGCTACCACAAACTGGGTGGCTCTTTCAGTTTTATGTTCCAACTTTTTCACCCAATTTTTACCTTCCTGTAGTTTGTTCTCATTTTATGAATTACCATATTGTTCAGAACAATTTTATTTATTTACTTTTTAGAATACATAATACATGCTTATAGTATGATTTTTTAAGTACAAAAGGACATATATTGAAAAGTAATCATTCTTTTCTTACCCATTTCCCTCTATGGTGGCAACTCCTAACATCATTCTCCTTTGAGCTCTTACTTACTTGTAATTTCAGACATTCTTATTAAAACCACTTTAGGCTGATAGGTTAGCTTATGAATAATTGTTCTTTGCTGTTGAATATTCTGTTCAAAGAATCTGATATACCTTTTGTCTTAGTTTCCTAGGACTACCATAATAAACTACCACAAACTGGGTGGCTTACAATAACAGAAATTTATTCTCACAGTCCTGGAGGCTAGAAATACTAAATCAAGGTGTCAGCTGGGCCATGCTCCCTTTGAAACCTTTCCTTGCCTCTTGCAGCTTCTGGTAGCCCCAGACATTCGTTGGCTCCAGTCTTTTATCTTCACATGGCATTCTCTCTGTGTTTTTGTCTCTTCATGTGGCGTTCTTTTTATAAGAATACCAATCATACTATATTAGGGGTTACTCTACTACAGTTGACTTCATCTTAACTAATTACTTCTGCAATGACCCTATTTCCGAATAACTTCACATTCTGAGGCACTGGGGGTTAGAACTTCAACATATCTTTTTTCGGGGGTTGGGGAAACACACAATTCAACCCATGACACTTCCATTTTTTCAAATCTGTGTGTTCATTTTAAAGTTTTCTTATAATTTTTGGATATTTCTTATTAAATTTATTCCATATTTTTTAATATATATTTTTGCATTTGTATGTGCAGTGTTCTGTTATATTTTTATAAATAATTGTTTATGTAATATGAAGGTTATTGAAATAATATCTACTATTTATAGTGAATTTAATGAGTTTCTTTTTATAATAATTTTTCAGTTGACTCTTGATTTTGCAGGTAAATCGATGTATTGTTGACAAATAATGTTCATTTTACCTTTCCTTTACAACATCTTATACCTCTGATTACTTTCTCTATTTAATGCATTATCTAGTACTGTAATAATAGTGGTATAGTACCCATATTCTTCCTGACTATAATGTTCATATTTTGGGATTTTTCCCATTAAGTATGGTGCTAGGGTTTAAGTTATAACTGTACTTTTTCTCAAGTTAAATAAGTGTCCATCTAGTCCCATTTTATAAAGGGTTTTTTTAATGAAAAATAGATGCTGAGTTTTATCATCTTTTTAATATCTTTGGAAATGATTACTTGAATTTTCACTTTTGACCTATTAATATATTTATAGTGATAGAATTTTTCTAATATTGAAACATACTTAAAAATTTATTCAGGTATGATGTGTCTTATATTTAATGTACTTCTGGGTCCCCCCCCTTTTATTCTGGGTTATTTTGATACTTTATGTAGAATTTTTACATTGATATTCATAAGTGAAATTGGTATATAGTTTGCTGTTTTGGTAGTCATCTTTGTCAGGTTTTGGTATTAATATTGTTTCATACACAAAAAAATTAGAAATTCTCTTTTTTTCTTTGGTAACACTTTGCACAGCATGAGAGGCGTCTCTTAAATGTTTGTTAAAATTCCATGTGAGTCACTCTGGGCCTTTTCTATTTGTTTTGTTTTTAGGGGATTGTTTTTATATTTTTATTTTTTAGAAATTGGTTTATATAGGTTTTCTATATCTTATATTGTCAATTTGGTCATTTACATTTTCCAGAAAATTATTCACATCAAACAGTTTGTAAAAGTGTATTTTAAAATAGTTTTATGATTTTAATTTCCTGTCGGTTTTTTTCTCTATCATTATTTTTTCTTACTTTATATGTAAATTCTACATTCTCTTTTATTTACCCAATAGTTTATCTGTGTTCTTTCAGATTCCATTTAAAAGCTAGTTGTATTCATATGTCTGTCTCTACTCATATCTAATTTCCTGAAATTTTCTAAAACTTAGGAAACAGGAGGTATATGCACCTGGAATTTGCTTAGTAGTGGGAAACTAGGCCTTAAGCCAAGAATCAATTCTATAATTTTATAGCATATTTAAAAAAATCTTTTTGATTTATAATATCGGAAGGAATTACAAGTAATATTTATTTGCAAACTGTTTTAGGAGAAATATGGGGACTTGATGAGCATCAGAATATCCAGGACAGACTTTTGACACAACTTGAAGATAAGTTCACAGAAACATTGACTGAAGAAAAAGTCAATGAATGTCATAAGAAATTTGCAAATGCATTTTCTCCAAACTCAGACTTTTTTCATTCCAGTCACAATCTCTATGACTGTAACTTATTTGGAAAATGTTTAGAACATAATAATTTTGACTGTTACAATAATGAGAGAATCCTTATAAGAAAGGAATACTGTGAATATAATGAATCTATAAAGTCATTTGGCAATAGCTCATCCCATCTTGTAGTAACTCCCTTTAAGTGTAATAATTGTGGAAAAGGATTCAGTGAAACCTTGGATCTCATCAGACACCTGAGAATTCATACTGGAGAGAAACCCTATGAATGTAAAAAATGTAGAAAAGCCTTCAACCACAAGGAAAAACTCCTTAAACATCATAAAATTCACAGTAGGGAGCAGTCTTATGAATGTAATGAATGTGGGAAAGTTTTCATTAAAATGTCAAATCTCATTAGACATCAAAGAATTCATACTGGAGAGAAACCCTATGTGTGTAAGGAATGTGGGAAATCCTTCAGCCAGAAGTCAAATCTCATTGATCATGAAAAAATTCATACTGGAGAGAAACCTTATGAATGCAATGAGTGTGGAAAAGCATTCAGCCAGAAGCAAAGCCTCATTGCACATCAGAAAGTTCATACTGGGGAGAAACCTTATGCATGTAATGAATGTGGTAAAGCCTTCCCTCGAATTGCATCCCTTGCTCTTCATATGAGAAGTCATACAGGAGAAAAACCTTATAAATGTGATAAATGTGGAAAAGCCTTCTCTCAGTTTTCCATGCTTATTATACATGTGAGAATTCATACAGGTGAGAAACCCTATGAATGTAATGAATGTGGAAAATCCTTCTCTCAAAGCTCAGCCCTTACTGTACATATGAGAAGTCATACCGGTGAGAAACCCTATGAATGTAAGGAATGTAGAAAAGCCTTCAGCCACAAGAAAAACTTCATTACACACCAGAAGATTCATACTAGAGAGAAACCTTATGAATGTAATGAATGTGGAAAAGCATTCATTCAGATGTCAAACCTCGTTAGACACCAGAGAATTCACACTGGAGAAAAACCCTATATATGTAAGGAATGTGGCAAAGCCTTTAGCCAGAAATCAAATCTCATTGCTCATGAAAAAATTCATTCTGGAGAGAAACCCTATGAATGTAATGAATGTGGTAAAGCCTTCAGCCAAAAGCAAAACTTTATTACGCATCAGAAAGTTCACACTGGAGAGAAACCTTATGATTGTAATAAATGTGGTAAAGCCTTCTCTCAAATTGCATCCCTTACTCTTCATCTGAGAAGTCACACAGGGGAAAAGCCTTATGAATGTGATAAATGTGGGAAAGCCTTTTCTCAGTGCTCATTGCTTAATTTACATAAGAGAAGTCATACAGGTGAGAAGCCATATGTATGTAATGAATGTGGAAAAGCTTTCTCTCAAAGAACTTCCCTTATTGTGCACATGAGAGGTCATACAGGTGAGAAACCCTATGAATGTAATAAATGTGGAAAAGCCTTCTCCCAAAGCTCGTCCCTTACTATACATATACGAGGTCATACAGGTGAGAAGCCCTTTGACTGTAGTAAATGTGGAAAAGCCTTCTCTCAAATCTCATCTCTTACGCTTCATATGAGAAAACATACAGGTGAGAAGCCTTATCATTGTAATGAGTGTGGTAAGGCTTTCAGCCAAAAGTCACACCTTGTTAGACACCAGAGAATTCATACTCATTAGAATTAGAAGCCCTGTGAATATTGTAAATATGGAAAAACCTTCAGAAGGAAGTAGCACCTTCTTGCACATTACATAATCAGTTCTAGAGCAGAAAACTATGAATGTGGGGAAGACTTTTGAAGAAGTCACACATTTGTGAAACATGAGAATTCTTCCCAAGGTTACAAATTGTATAATGAAAAAGTTGATGATCAGAAACCTTCAGCAGACATTCTTATCTATTGATATTTATTTTGTCATTCTCATTAAAACCTGAAACGATATCTGCTGTCAACTTATCAAAATGATACTTGAGCTCCCAGCCAATGCATTAGCAAGAAAAAGAAGATTAGGAAAAAAGAGAAATTATAAAAATAACCTTTTATATGTGTAAATAGTTGGGCGCCAGATATCATGTCCCGTGTGAAAAGGGCTGGGGTTTTGAGGAGGGGCGGCAATGGGTTAAGAAATCACAAGAGTCAAAAATAGAGTTTCTGTGGGCCAGGGATCTTGTCTCTGCAGACTGAGAGATCAAGCCCTGACCCTGGCTGGTGAATAACTTTTATTTACAATTGTCACAAAGAAGTCAATTTGAATATCTATACCCAGTTAATTGATTCGATTAGACCAGCAGCAGCTGCTTCACCGAAACTCATTGTGATCAAGCACGAGTTGTGCTTTCACACATACTTATACTCCCCGGGATGGTCTCCGAGACCACCGGGTAAGGAAGTTTTACCGAGACCATTCCCTCGGGTCTCAGCATTCCAAGACACTTCCTTATTTTTTCAGAGGATCAGTGCACAGGAGCATTCGAGTCGGCAGCTGCAAGGCGACATATATGAGAAATAGTTAATTAGAAAATGTGTTGATATAAAATATCTAAGAATAAGCACAAGAATGGATTATACATATATATGTATAAAGTTATAAAATATTTTGAAGGGCACAAAAGAACGCCTTTAAAATTTAGAAAAACAACACTGTCTGAAAAGATTTGACATTGTAAAAAATATAAATTCTTTCACAAATCTCTAAGTTTATAAAGTACTTCCACTCAAAGTTTTTGCCAGCTAGTTATACTTAAAGAATTTTACAAAATGATTCAAAATTTTGCATTGGACAGTAAAGAACTACAAATAGCTGAAGAAATTATGGGAAAAAAAGAAAAGGCAGTCTACTAGATATCATCACATACTTTACTGGTGTCATTTAAATAATGTGTTCTTGAGTAAATAAATCAGTGGAAACAGATCAAGGATTGGAGGAAGGAGATGTAGGAATTTTGTATGTGATAATGCTATGGAAATAACTGGAAAAGGATGGCCTATTCAATAAATGGAAGATTCATATTAACAAAAAGTATTAGTTTTTATCATATATGTATATGGTATATGTGTATGTGTATACAATATATAAAAATTAAATCCAAACAGATTGAAGAACAGAATATAAAAAGCAAAATTCTTAAACTATGATGAAAATAGAATATCACTTTGGAGTAACAGGATTTCTTTAAAAACACATACATATGGAACAATCAATTATATTTTGATGTATTGTCTTTAGAGCACACATATACGTGCACAGAGATATATATGTTCACTATGTTCACTGCATCATGGTTTATATTACTCTAAATTGGACATAACAAATTTCTATTAGTAGAGAGATAGATCAATATGATGTGGTTATTTCTGTGATAGAATACAGTATTTAGTGAATACAAATTTGACATAGTTACATGGATAGATCACAATATATAATATTGAGTAAAAAGCAAAATGTACAATAAAACATGACATACTATTTGTATAAATTTAATAAAATAATGCAAAGGACAGTAGTGTGTGTTGACCATAGATCCATATATGACCATGGATCCCACTTTTAGGAAGTGGAAAAGGTTTAGAGGGAGTAGTTATACTTATCTGTAATATTTCTTATAGAATGAAAGCAACTATGATGGTGGTAACAAATTTGGTTGTCAAATTGTTGCTTTTTTATTTTCTTTCTTGCCTTTCTTTATTACCTATTCACTAAAAAAGAAGGAAATGGGTGCAGGAAATCTGGACCTATAGAAACAATTTTAAAATGGATTCTTATTTTTGATCGGTTACTAACATGTATAGAAATTTTTCTTTGCTAATACACAAACCAAGCCTGAATTAAGATAATGCTTTGCTTACACTGTCCTCATAATGTTAATTAGAGTAATAAAACTCAGAATATTATATTTGTTTGAAGCCAGTTTTTAAAATTTTTAATTTTTTTTACAAATACAAGCTCTTCCCTAGTTGAAAGTAGTAAAGAAATGAAATATTCTACTTTGGGGATAACTGACTCTCCATTTGGGGGGAAAAAAATCACCTGCATTTGGGTTGGTTTCAGATTGAGGGGATGAGACCATTCATGCATACTATAAAATGTGATTAATGTCCTAACATGTCAAACTAAGGATAGTTACGGTACCTGCATCAGAGCAGAAGCAATGTCAGTGTACAAATATCTCAGCAAAGATTTCTTTGGTTTTTGGATCCTTCAATGGGGATGCAGATGCTGGTGATTTTATATGAACCAGGTAAGGGCCAGTGGATGTGAGAGGTCACTTATTCCTGTACCATAGCTGTTTTATATTGAGGCCTTTCAAATATTTTTAGTACTCAAAGTTCCTTTTCTGTGGCTAGCCCATTCACATATTTTGTCTGTTTTCTTCTGGGACTTTCAAAAATGTTTATTTTATTTTAGAAATAATTATAGATTTATAGGAAGTTACAGAAATAATACCCTAAAGTACTATTTAGTTTGTGTACACTACATCCAGTTTCCCCTAATGGTAACATCTTGCACTACTATAGTACAGTATCAAATTTGACACATACAATCCACAAATCTTATCATACGTGTATTTCACTGGTTTTACATGCACTTGTGTATGTGTGCCCCTACTTCTATACAATTTTATCTCGTGTAAATTTGTGTAACTACCACCACAATCAAGATATAAAACTTCCAATATCACAAAGATTCCTTGTTTTATCCTTTGTAGTTATACCCATCCTTTCCTCTCCCTGCTCCTTCTAAACCCTGGCAATCGCCAATCTATTCTCTGTGCCGTATTTCCCCATGTATAAGATGCACCCTTTTTCGAAAAATTGGGGGTCTAAAAACTGGGTGCGTCTTATACAGTGGTTGTAGATTTGTTTACTTGCATTTCCCGCTTTTTCGCGCTTGTTGTCTTTGCGCTCATTGTTTCGCACTTGTTACTGGTATATTACAGTAGGTTACTGTTTTGCCACGTTCTGCCCAGAAATGGCTCAGAAAAGATTTTCGTACCGTGCTGAATTCAAGTTAAAATTTGTACCTGAGTGAAAAGATCCTGGGATAATATCAAGATTGAGATCGTTGTCAAGTCATTTAAGAAGTGTGGCATTTCAAATGCCATAGATGGAACTGAGGACGAGGCAATATATGAAGACAGTGATTCGTCATCAGACACAGATGAGGACAAGCTAATGGTTGGGAGTTTTGACAGTAATGAGGAGTTGTATGAATTTTATGATGAATAAAACTTGAATTCAATAACTTTATGTAATACATTTTTTTGTCAAATCTCGGGCCCCAAAATTAAGGTGTGTCTTATACATGGGAGTGTCTTATACATGGGGAAATACAGTAATTTTGTCATATCAAGAGTTCTATAAATGGGATCATACATTATCTAACCTTTTGAGATTGGCTTTTTTTCACTCAACATAATTCCCTTGAGATCAATCCCAGTTTTTCAGGTACAATAATTTATTCCTTTGAGGGAGTATTTTCTGAATAATTTTCCATGGTCTGGATATATCATGGTTTCTCTAACCATTTGGCCATTGAATAACATTTGGATTGTTTTCAATTTTGGGTTATTACAATTAAAACTGCTATGAACATTTGTCTTTAGTTTTATTGGTTGATTTGTTTTTTGTTCCTCTGTTTCACTTTTCATTTTTTACTGTAGGTTCCTTGAGCATTTTTTAGATTCTCCTTTGATTTATCTATAGAGTTCTTCAGTATGTATCTCTTTGTACAGATTTTTAGTGGTTGCTCCAGGTATTACATTTTACGTACATAACTTATCACAGTCTACTTGTGTTAGCATTTAACCAGTTAAAAAACTTTTTATCTCAACTGAGATCCTTTAATTTCCTTACTTTATTGTATAATTGCTTTAAATATTTCCTCTGTGTACCTTAAGAACTACATAAAACAGTGTCATTTTTGTTTAAGCGATCTAACGTAATTTAGGAAACTCAGCAGGAGATAGTCTATTAAATATGCCCATATTTTTACTCTGTTATTTCTCATTCCTGATATTCAATGTTTCCTTTATCATTTCTTTTCTGCTTAAAGAACTTCCTTTAGCCATTCTTTTATTATTTATTTAGGCTTAAACAACAACATTTGTTTCTCACAGTTCTGGAGGCTGGAAACCCAAGATTAGAATGCCAGCGTGATACATTTCTGTGGAAGCCCTGTACCTTATTCACAGATGACCATCATCTAGTTGTATCTTCATGAGTTAGAGAGCAGAGAGGAAGCAAGCTCTCTCATGTCACTTTTTATAAGGGCATTAATCATTAGTGAGGGCTCCACCCTCATGACCTAATTAACTCCCAAAGGCCCCACCTCCTATCACATTGCAGGTTAAGATTTTAGCATATGAATTTGGGGGTTTGGACGCACAAACGGTCCACAACAAAGCCACAAACACTTTCTGTATCCCATGGAGGAAAGGTTCTCAAGTGTTATCATGGACCAGCTTCATGGGCAAGACTTGGGAACTTTTTAGAAATGCAATATCTTGGGCCTCACCTCAACCCTACTTACTTGAATAAGAAATGGGTGGTGGGTGCCAGCAACAGATTCTAACCAGCCTCCAGGTGATTGTGATGCACGACTGCCACTGAAGACTGGCTTATGTCCTTGAGGGCAGGAACCACGCTTGTTAAAAGTTGAAATCCTGGGGGTCGGCCGAGTGGCGTAGTTGGTTAAGAGCTCACTCCACAGCTTGAGCTCTGAGCAACAGCAGTTCGATTCCTGGCCCAAGCTGAGCAGCTGCTGAGCTGCCAACAGGGGGCAGGATGGCTCAGCTTAAAAAAAAAAAGTTGAAACCCTGGCACATGGCTTATAGTCTGTTTTTTTTTAAAAATTTTGGAACCATTTGTGCTGTAATTTTATTTGTTATTAACATACATGTACAATTTATTAGTTTCAGGTATACAACATAGTGATTCAATATTTATATAACTTATGAAGTGATCACCACAATAAGCCTAGTAACCATCTGTCAGAAAGTTATATTATTTATTATATTCCCTATGCTGTACATTATGTCCCTGTGACTTATTTTATAACTGGAAGTTTGCATCTCTCTCTTTTTCTTTTAAAGATTTTATTGGGGAATTGGGGAAGGGGAACAGCCAAGTTGTTGTCCTTTGATCTTAGTTGTGGAGGGCGCAGCTAGCTCAGCTCCAAGTCCAGTCACCATCTGGCCACCCATCAGCAGCTCATGGCCACTCAGCTCAAGGTGCCGTGTTCAATCGTAATCACAGGTGGGCACAGCCCACTCTATCCCATACAGAAGTCGAAGTGGAAACCTTGTTGCTATGCGTGCACGCTCTAACCACTGAGTCACCCGGCCACCTGTCGGCAGCTCACAGCCGCTCAGCTCAAGGTGCCGTGTTCAATCTTAGTTGCAGGTGGGCATAGCCCACCATACCATGCAGGAGTCAAACCGGCAACCTTGTTGTTAGGAGCACGTGCTTTCAACAGCTGAGCCATCCTGCCAACAGAGCTCAGCGGCAGCTCAGCTTGGTCACAGCTCACTGGCCCATGTGGAAATCAAACTGGTGACCCTATAGCTCAGAGCTTGCGCTCTTAACTAACTGAGCCACTCGGCCAGCCCAAGTTTATTCTTGTATGTGGTGTAAGAAGGTGGTCTAGTTTTATTTTTGTGCATGTATCTGTCCAGTTTTTCCAGCACCATCTATATTCTTGTCTCCTTTGTCATTGCTTAAATGACCATATAGGCATGGGTTTATTTCTGAGCTCTATTTTCTTCCATTGACCTATGTGTCTTTTTTTTATGCCAATACCATGCTGTTTTGATCACTATAGCCTTGCAGTATAGTTTGATATCAGGTAGAGTGATATCTCCAACTTTCTTCTTATTTTGCAAGATTGCTGTGGCTATTCAGGATCTTCTTTGGTTCCATATAAATTTTAGGATTATTTGTTCTAGTTCTGTGAAATATGCCATTGGTATTGATAGGGATTGCATCGAATCTAGGTTGCTTTGGGTAGTATGAACACTTTAATGATGTTAATTCTCCCTGTGCATGAGCATGGAATATGCTTCCACTTATTCATATCTTCTATGATTTCTTTCTTCAATGTCTTATAATTTTCCAAATGCAAGTCTTTTACCTCTTTGGTTAAATTTATTCCTAGGTATTTTTTCATGCAATTGCAAATGGG